GTTCGATATCTAGAGACCTTTGGTAATTTATTTGATACTCTGTAGATGATAGAGAAAGACCCCGCGATGTGGTTGCCTTTTTGATCTGATCTGTTTTAGAAGTGTTAGTGATTTTAATTGCATATTTATTTAGTCACACCGGTAGGGCCCACAGGTGCAGTTGAATTGATAGATACAATTAGAGCAGGTGGTTAGCCTAGCTATACATGGACAAAATCCAAATTATGCATTCGAATATGTTTTTAATAGCACGTCATACCTTTTCCTTCAACAGAAATAAGACTGTTTTGCTTGAAAATGAAGTCGTCGAAAAGAAGGACCTGTTTCGCTTCAACACAAACCTGTTTCTCTTGGATAATGAAAGGATTCATGAATAACTAGACTTGCTCATTAAGCCTAAAAGTCAATAATATACTGTTTCTGATAAACGCGAAGACATGATGAATGCGTGCTGAAACATTTCAATTGATACTGGATTTCAACGTCTTCTTCTTCTTATGATTTCTTGCATCTCAACTAGTTCATAATTTTGAAGTTTTTTGCATGATAAAGTTGTTAGCTTCACGCGCAACGTTCCCTCTTCTGCGGGCTTATCGCAAACTAGTAGGATTAGTGGGTGAGTTTAAGAGAAGCGAGTTGGTTGGTAGTCGAACCCGTACCACGTCTTAAGCTGATCCCATAATTGTCCGTTGTCTTTCTCGTTTCCTCCTCCCCCCCCACATGGTCTCATCCATGTCAACCTCGAACACAAGCCTAACTCGTCAATTCCCATTCGGGTTCCACTCGAGTGATGATGGTATGATACGCGATGTCATTCAGTCCACTATATAGTTACTGTTTTTTTTTAAAAAAAAAATTCATAATGCTGACATCATAAAGGAACAGAAAACGAAGAGTGCTAGGGGTTGTCTTTGTTTATTGTCTAAATGTTAAACGGACTACTTACAAGAACAATAAATGTATTCACACAGTGTACATGCCAGTTGTACAATAAAGACACCTGTGTGTGTGTGTTTACAGAGTATTTTTATATGATTAATGAAATGATCACGTGATTAGATCAATTTAGTAGATAGACATTATTCGACCTTTACGTGTATATCTACTTACCTATTTACTGACTTACTTACTTAATGTACGACGTCAGATATGCCGTTTATATTTACGAAAAAAAATAGAAAACGAAAATATATTAAGATGTTAATATATATACAATATAAATAAATATACATGTGTATGACATTCATTCTCTTTGTATATCTTTTCTTTTCTTTTCGTAAGAGAATAAGCAAAAGATAAAGAAACAGCTTAATCGACTTTATTTGTTTGATTTATGTCTGTCTGTCTATCTATTTGTCTGTTTATCTATCTATCGATCGTATCTTGTTGACGGTAATACTTACTTGCTTACTTACTTTATATGAACAATCATGTATGTTGTATATGTATTTATTCCCTATTTATTGATTGATCAATTCAAAATTAACTTTATACAATTAAAAAAGAGAGATTTTAAGTCACATGGCAAGATAATAATGATAATAATAACAGCGATAACAACAACAACAACAACTGTTTCGCCGGTCTAATAGGAAAAGAAATAAGAAGAAAAAAGTCTCTGAATGATGTGATTGGAATTTCTGTGTAGACATCCTGTTATTGAAGATTATCAACTCAGAAATTTGAAGCGGTTCACTTCTTTTTTTTATTTTTCTGGACAGCATCTTTTTAACTGCAGACAAGCGGCACGAGTGAAAATGTCAAAAACTAGCTAGGATGTGAAAGGCAAGATTAGACCCTCTATCGCTCTAAAATCAATTTCGAAATCTTCTGTACTCCTCAGCATAAAAAACGAAATTCGGATTCTCAGTTAGTTCTTCTATATGTCTCAGAAACTCGATGGGCGTGTTATGAAAAGCATTTTGAACAGACGGCTTCAAAATTTATTCAGCTGCTGCATTCTTCGTTCGATGTTGAATACCAGATGACCGACTGGAAAGGATAAGCAGCCAAGAGCTCTGGTAACGAAGCAATCAAGAAATTATTGTCAAGCCAATAGATCGAAGGGAATGAAGATAGATTTGAGACACCCTGAGGAGACCGTTGAGTGAAATCACGTGCCAGGCCAACCCTCGAGTAAAATCCGAATGGGAAATGATAAGTTGGACGTGTGTCCTAGAGTGACATGGAGGAGATCGTGACAGTCTGAAGAGGACTGCAGAGGTTGGGATAATTGGAGATGTGTATTGAAGCCCTATTTTCGATTTGCAGCCAAAGGGAATAATAATAATAATAATAATAATAATAATAATAATAATATGGGGATCTATCTTAACCGCCGTAGTAGATTTTTTGCTTAGTTTTAGCAAGAAGGTTGTCGTATTTCAGACAGTTAATAAAGTCATTCACAAGATTTGTTGCGCTGTTGAAGATATATTCAGACTGTCAGAAATGTTATTGTAAGTTGTGTAACTTGAGTGAAGCCTGATCAGTTTCAAAGATGATTGAATAATGCTCTGTCTTTGTAAGTAATTTTTACCAAAATTCCGTCCATCCGACTAAGATCTTGCAATACATTACTGATTGACAGATGTAAGTAGTTGAACATTACTCACGTCAACCAAATATTTCTACTGTTGATTAGTAATAATTTGCCTGGATTACAGAGAATTGTTCATTTAAAAAAATGTAATTAACCTAGTGTCGTGGGTTATGTCTTTGTGTTATTTCTTTGCATTCCGAAAGAGACATAACGCTTCATGCTGAAGCTTGAACTTTCAGTACCACTTGTGTTCATTTTTACAGATTGGGTTTGCTAGCCTCACTCTCCACCTTCCCTGTTCACCCGTTTCGCTACTGGCTAGGTGTGGTTTAGGAGTTTAACGGCTCTGAATCAAACACTGGACCATGTGTGCTGTTGGCGATTGTCATGCTGCTGAACCACTGACGTGCTGGTCTGACGAGGCAGGAAACAAACGTTGTTCTAATATTTAAGTGATCGAAAGTATCAAGCCTCAAGGTTTTAGTTTTTTACTGGTTCACTGAGAATGGAATGACTGTAAGCAGCCATATTGCCTAATTATTCCGATTTATGCTCCCCTGTACAATTTCCAATGAAATTTACAAAATAGATTATCCTCCTTTTATCTTTATTTTCCTCTTCGTTTTCAATATCTTGTCATATCTTGTTATTGATGTGGTATTAGTACAACCAAAGTGAGTATCTCATCGCAAAGAGCAATGATTCGCAGTAAAGCAGGAATAAACTCAATATTTGCATAGAGGTGTCTTGGACTGAAGTTTAAGATGCTGACTACACAGTCAGTGTTCTTCATTATCTGACTTTTTGCAAATTGTTATTCCTATTTTGTTTATGAGTTTCTGTTGTAAATATGATATTCATACCGACTTCATTTTCGTTTGGTTGTTATATTTATCAAGGAACTGCTTCTTATTGCCTTTTGAATACCTCTGCCAATTATGACTTGTTTGAAGAATGTGACACTTTGTGCAGAACATTTACTGCAGTCAGTCAACAGAGCTTCTGAAGTTGTGTGTATAGTTTAATGTTATGTTTACCTCCTCTAAGATGCTAAATGAGTTCTTTGATATTCAATACGACTGTTACTGATCCCCCTAACTCAGAGATACCAAAAATAAGTAGTCACTGAAGTTTTAATCTTTTGTTTCAAACTTATAAAGCACAACGGATGATATATAGGATAACTAGGTATGTCGGCCATACTCAGCGTTCCCTATCCAAACGTGTCATTGAACACTTACCCTCATGGTTTTATAAAGGAGAAAATAGGTACCCCTCCCCGGAAGCTCTACCTTGGAGCACTTGACAGAATAAGGACACCAAGCAAACGGACAAAGTAACTTCAAAGTCATCTATAGAATATGCAAGAATCTTGCTAAAAGAGTACGAACTATACTTCTTGTAACCGCAGAAGCAATAGCAATTCACATATTAAGTCCTTAAATCCGCATACAAAAGAAGTTTGTTCAGTCATTAAATCTACAATGGACCTGACCTATCTTGACACCAAATAAATAATTTTTTGTTTCGTCTTCTTCTCGGCTGATTGTTTCTTAATTGTAATTGTAATATTTTCTTCCCCCACCCTTTACTAAATCTCTACTTCTTATTGTTGTTGACTTTTTTTCAGTTTTAATTTTAGCTGAGCTGTACTCAATCCCGTCAATTAGATTACGTCATTCACATTACTTATTTAATCTCATTTTATTTTCTAATCAACTAATGAAATTTATTACCTTAAATTTACAATTCTGATGAGAAATCTTCGGAAATATTCCTGTTTTTGCTAAGGTTATTTAATATATATATGTATATATATCGCCGAAAAGAGTAACTCTCCACTGAACGTCTTTTCTTTTATATAACTCAGTGGAAATTTTTTAAGTAATGGTTAGCGTCATATCCAGTCTTCCTTCTTTACCGTGGTAATTATCTACATGCTGAGCAAAGTTTAGGAATGTGTCTACCAGAAGTCGGACCCAAACCATGCACGGGGTCGGCGAACCTTCTGCTACCGTGAAGCATCGACGCACCGAAAACTAGAGAGTGCTGGACAGTTATTTCGTTCAAGTTTGAGACTTCATCTGTGCGCATCCATGATCCTGCCAGGACTCGAATCCGGTGCACTCAGATTACTAGTTTGACTGACTGATCATTCAAACATTGGGTCAGAGCATATTTCCGCCCAGGTTAGAACTGGGGAGCTTCTTTGTCTTAGGTAGACGTGATGATCATTACACCACGGAACTAAGTGGGTTTCAGTTCGTATGTATTCACTATAATTTAAAATAAAATTTTTGAACAATCTCTTAACTTTGAGTCTTTTTTTTGCACCATGGTGTCTGTTAGTAATTCTGAGGGAATCAGCTTAATTTCCTTTTATTTTCCAATATTCGTCTAGTTACCTGTTTTATACTGTGAGTAATAATACTAAATTTCTCTTATTTACCGTTTTTAGGCGCATCAAGTGATAGTTTCTACTTCACAGTAAGTCCAAATGATCAAGATGTTGAAGAAGGACAACCATTACGATTAAGATGTGCTGTTACACCGTCAAAAGATATTTACTATTCATGGTTGCATAATGGAACACGTCTACAATTAGAGAAAGAAGGCGGTAGACGTTATCTTGAAGTAGATAGTAATTTACAAATTTTACACGCTGATCGTGAACTTGATCCTGGTACATATCAATGTCAAGCGTTGAATCGTTCATCAACATTTACTACAGCAAGTAGAGAAGCAAAAGTGAACATTTATTGTAAGTTTTAAATGTAATATGTATAATAATAATAATAGCAGCTTTATTCCAAACAGTATTTGTGGTACAGGTATGGAATTTTCGGCGTGCATTACAATATATTGCATCTAATTACCTCATAAATTTGATAAGATTTTTTAAATCTAAATAAATAAAAAAACCAACGCCAAAAAAATAAAAGATAAATAAAAAAGGAACATCGTAGCGTTTACATTTCAAACAATGCACCACAGGATTTGAAATATAAAGTTGATGTGTGATAGCAGACGAGAACAACAGTGTAATAGTAACGAGGAAAGGAAAACAAAAACTAATGGGACTATTTGTTAGAGTGCCGCAGTAAGTTGATCGTGTCATACCTAACGGATTTCTCATCACATAACAGCTGTGCCAGATATGGTATTGTGGAGTTTTTGTACTTGGTAGTCCTAGCATATAGCCTCCTATAGCTGCTTCTAGTTCTACCAGATGTTTGAGAATTATATGTATGAGAATTCTTGGTTTGGTAAGCGTCAATAGGATACTACTCTAATGGGACTACCTTTAATTGACTAATTGGTTTCAAGGGGTTGGGGTTGGGGTTGGAGGGGGGGTTGACCTGATACTGGCTTTTCTTTTCAACAAAGAAAACTTAACTCTTGATATAAGGATAAAGCTTAGGCACTGGGATAGAGTAGAACGCCATTATGGATAAAATCGTATTTTGATAAAATCACAAAATGTGTTGGAGAGTAATATTAACTGATGATCACGTTTCGAGCATAAATTATCGCCACTCATAACCACATCAACAAGGTATTCACAAACCTTTCTTACTTCGTCTATATACATGAGTAGAAATTGATGATTAGACATTTGAATGGAATCAATATAAGATAAAGTACATTCAAAAATACTATTATCAGTAAAATACAATCAGATGAGAATTAAGATGTTTTTATAGTCAAAATAAATAACTTGTTAGAATGTTATAATGTGAATTGAATACACTTTATCATTATTTTCATCCTCCACTGATTTGACTCGTGGTGATAATATCTTTCATATCTCTGGTATTTGCGTTGAGTCGCTTCTACTGCATGTGTTGGGTGTAGACTCGATGAACAAGGATTCAGTAATCAACCTCTCTTTCTCTCTCTCTCCACCTATCTATATTACTTTACAGAGTTTGACTCTGTCCCACCCAACCTATTGTGTGGTTGCGTGTTAATGCATGCAGTGCAATTGCTGAGTTTTTCTGAATTACTTGTTTTCGTGGGATCAGTCATTCTAACTTTAGCTAAATTTTATGTTTTGATAATCTCACTACTCCTGCCTGATCTACTAGTTTGATCTATGTAGTTGATCTAACTCACAGTCATTGCAAGGTATTTTGTAAATTATATTAATTTGTTTAATTGGGTCCACCAGGTTCTGTAGCCTATAGAGCTAGTCTCTGAGTGAGTTTGTAGGATTGAATATTAGCCATAAAATTTTCTCCATAATGGAGTTAAAACTTAACTCTATCTTCATATTCATAAACCTGAGTCAACAGCTATGATTTGATAGCAGATGCCAAACGGTTCACGACAAAAATCTCAGTGGATTATAGACAGGAGCAAAATAAGGCTGCCTGCTATCATTTATATGATATTCCTGAATCTGATGGACTGAATCAATCATTCAACAGACCATGAGTGAGGAGGTGTGAGCGATAAGACGGGCATACGTTGAGCAGACGACAAGTCACTAAAAGATCTGGACTTCGTGTATGATCTATGTCTAATTTCACACAAACTCAAAGATCTACAGGAGAAAACTAACCAGTTGGCAGAAGAGCTAAGCATCTTAGCTAGGACTTCACGTGAACATAAAAAAGACAAGGGGATGAAGATACTTAGTCAACAACAAAAAGCAACAACCATTACCAACTGCAGAAATTTGAAGGAAGTTACTTATTTCATCTATTTAGGCAGCGTCGTTTCAACTAAGGGCAGGGGGCATTCACGAGGATTTCAATTCCGGTTAGGATGGGAAAGACAAGACAGACCTTTGTTAATCTGAAATCAATGTGGAATTTCGCTGAACTCAGAGTAAGGAACAAGATCTGCATCCCCAACATTAATATCAAATCACTACTTCTATGTGAAGTAAACTTTACCAAAAGTATTTCCAACAGTCTACAGACTTTTATTAACAGCTGCCTTTACTCGACATTGAAGATCAAATGATCAACCCAAACGGTTCAGTATCAAGGAACTGTACCAGGAAGTTGTCGCCTAAAAATATGCAGAAAGAAATGAAGAGGGATTGGACGCACACTGAAAAGATAGTTGAGTGATTCCATACATCATCCAGATCCTCAATTGGAATCCGAATGGAAAATGACGGGTTGAAATGGAATAGAGATGTGCTGTTGAAGCCTTATGATCCACTTGGAACTCAAGGGAATGTTAATAACAGTTCACTGAAGAGGTTAGACTGATACAGAGGGTTAGAGGAAAAGAAATTTAGTCACCTTTAGGGTTATCAGCGCTGACCACCGCTTACAGGCTCATTCGTTTGAATGTTTACTCTAAAGAGCCTACAACACTATGATCCTTGATATTGTTCTTTTATGAAATAATATTTATTCCAAAAAGCATTGTAACACCGCAGTGTGGTATAGCTGCAGGAAAGTAATCGCATAGTCCCCACCAGTAAAGCCAGTTACTTGTTATGAATACTATTCACTTTGTATGAACAGGAAGTCGGAATGAAACACTTCTGTGACAACTGTTTGGAACTATGATATAGAGTAGGAAAAAAGAATGAAATGTTATTTAACAACCACAGGCACTGGATCAAACCTGTTTTGTGATGGATAGTGATAGTACGTGGCTGATCAAACTTCAGTAGGTGTGAAGTGAAGTTCAAACCAGAGGCTCACTGGTTAGAAATCAAGTGCCTAAACCTATAAACTACAGCCAAACATTTCCAACTGTAATTAACCATAAAAATAATCTCCTATTTCATATTGATACACTAATTAGTAGACGGACATTCAACCTCCGCCTTCAATGCGTACTGAAGATCGGATAGCGAAAAATAATTATCAACAAGAAACTTTGGGAACAAATCAATCAATAAGCTATTGTTCAATAAATGTGGCGAAGAAAATGGTGATGGATCGGACATATGCTGAGGAGACCGTTGGTTGACGTCACGTACCGGACCGTCACTCACGTGTGATTCAAATGGGAAACGATGAGTTGGGCGGAATCCAAGGTTGGCATTGAACAGATCGTGTTAACTGAAGGAGATGAGAGACTATGGGCAGTCATGGGGCCATTTAAACAGGACCACAGGGAATAGGACGAAGTGGAGATGTTCTCTTGAAGCGAAGCCAAGTGTTCCAATTGAAACCCACAGGAGTAATAATACTTTATGTTAGTAAATGTTGCTGACAATTATCAACAGATACAGAATTCCTAATCAACGGTATCTTGACAACTGATAATCGATTGTCACACCTATTGTCTTAACTAAATGATTTAAAAAAATAGTCAGTTAATATCAGATAGAAAAGAAAATATTGTCTGCTTACTATCACATAATGAATGATTCTTTGTGTGCGTTGTATATAAAAAGGAAACACAAAACTTTGAGTGTAGATAAGATTGCAAAAATTTAATTCATATATAAATAACTCAACTGAGATCATCTGATATTGATCAGTGTACATCTGAGCTTAAACCGCCATGCATGCGTGTGTACATGTCTACACATGATACTTCGGTACTATCATGTGATCTTAAACTTTCCATTACTTTTGTGATGCCTTTTCATTAGAAATATTCATTTACTTCCATCTTTTTCTCTCAAGGGATGGATCCAGATGTCCATGTGTCATTAGTTAAACCCTCACGATACGAAGATATTCGTCTTGGTGAAGAGGTGGAATTCACATGTAATGCTAGAGCGAATCCACCTCTTAGTCCAGCAAATATTAAATGGTTTCACAATGGTAACGCGTAAGTTTCATTTTTATACATTTGAGTTAAATGCATTTTAGTGCTGAATGGAATAATTTTCATGATTACATAGAATGAAAGTGTATCACTGTGACTAACTCTAATTAGTTTGGCATGTGGTATGGACACTTCGACTGTCTGAGTGTTAACATGAATTTACATAGCTGATGGCGGCTAGTAGCGGAAAGAATATGCATCTTGGATCTTACTTCTAGCTGACATCAGCCATAGAACATTTTGTCAAGCCTAGGGCATAGTCGAAGCATCCGTGCTAGAAGCTAACGTCTTAGCAGAGACCCAGCATTTCGGTCTAACATTGTAATCAGTCAAAGAGGAATTCAAAAAATAGTCAATGTTTCGCTGCTTCTACCTCTATATCGATGTTTACTCTCTCTCATCAGATGAAATGATGTCATACACGTAGGACATTCTGTAAAAGATAATTATTGAATTTATGATCAGTCTACTAACAAATAACTAGTAAGTACTATGAGTGGGTATTAAATCACTGTCTGTTCAATCTTTTAATTTATAAGACTGACCACGAGCCGACATCGTTTACAGAAATATAGGCAACCAATGGAGTATTCCACAGCTATTTTTCCCCAGTCTCAGACTACTCAGAAGTACCCAGCCATCGCACCAGAGATAGAGCCCAGCACCTTCAGGTTACACGGCGAGCTCGTAGACCATTTAACCACTGGGACCTGCCCCAATGGCCAGTGCATGCATTCCAAATTCTGCAAATTCTTAACTAGCAGACTTCACCAAGTTAGGGAAGAGGATAATCACTAGCCTGTGACATTGGCTGGAAGTTGCACAAAATATCGTGAATTGGTAGACGTTAGAATTCAAGGGCAATTGGTCTAGGAGGTTGCTCGCCTTGCGACTGGAAGACTATGGGTTCGAATACTGGTGGGGGAAGTACTGCTAGATAGAAATAAAAAGCTGTCCAGTACTCCTTGGCAGTTTTGCAATGGTCCTACGACGGTTGTCAGCTAGTGATCAAATCTGTAACCAATCGAACTCCTGAAAATCCACACATGATGACTAATCTCTGTTTGTCAATACTGCAGGATATTCTTCAAACAGTTGTTGTTTTCTGCAGGAGATTTGAATTTATAATGATCATTATCTTTGAAGAAATGTTCTCACCTGATATAACCATTAAATGCATGTGGTCTGGATTTCCTCGTGAATATGTATATGACTGAATATTCTCCATAAATCAAAATTATAGAAACTGAGATTAATTAATTCTCTTTCAGTTGGTTCATGAATTAAAGCACTAAATAGAATACATATTAGTTTATGGAATAACTTCACTCTTATGCCATTATGGTTCCTGTGGGTTGTGAGTGGAATATAAGGAGGGCCTCGGCAGCACATCTTCATTCCACCATGGTGTTCTCTGCAGTCTTTTTATAGCTAACTCCATGATTTGACTATAGGCTTTCATTTCTTCTACCTTACACTATCGCTTCCATGTCACCTTAAACACGTGTCCAACTCATCGCTTCTCATTCGGGTTCCACTTGGCTGAAACGGTCTAAGCTTGAATAAATGTGTTCAACACCTAAATATGCTGATCACTATCACAGATAAAGTATTTGTAAGTAAATGAAGATTACTTTGGTCATGTTGTCTTCTGTAAGCTGTACGCTTTAATCATGTGGTGTTTTCAACCGAAAATGCAAGTTTGACACAAAAAAACTTCAGGCAACCAAGTGAAAAATGACGGTAGAGTTAACCTTAAATGGACACCCTGAAGGAACCTTTAAGTTTATAACCTGTTAAGATATGAGCACATATAATATTGCTTAATACCTGAATTCACGATAACATCTATCTCTTTCTCTATACTCTAGATGTTGCTGTCGTCTTATACTATCTCTAATTTATAAAGAGGTGGGAAATATGTTCAGTTTGCCTTCATAGATCACACATCTGCCTTTGACTCTGTACTTAGGCCTCCTTTGTCAGACAAGCTTGCTGAGGCATAAGCAGAGCGCTGGATTAATAAGTGGTTGCATTCCTATTTTTGTGGTAGAAAGCAGTACACTGTTTTCAATGGGAAGTCCTCCATGGTTTCACTCACTCTAGCTGGTGTTCTTCAACGAGCTGTTCTTTCTCATTGTCTGTTTTGCTTCTTCTTACATGACTTGCCCTATTTTGATGAAGTCAATTTTGTTAAGTATGCCGATGATCTGACTGTTTCTATGCCTGTTACTGCTCAATGAGACTACTCCAAAATGAATAACAGTTGGTCAGAAGTTAGTCAGTGGTCCTTGTCAGACGGTCTTATGCTCAATTTCTCTGAATATCAGGTGGTTAATTTCACTTTCAGACACAAGTGCAACTTGCATAAAATGGTTAGTTCCCACAGTCCCTCTGCCATAGATGGCACTGAAGTTGAAACCAAAGGGAATGTTAAATACCTTGGACTGTGTGTTTCCTTTGATCTTACCTGGTCTTCCCACATCATGTTACTTTCCAGAAGGATATTTCGTTTGACGTCCTACGTAAAGAAGTTAAGACGATTTGGTATCATTCTGTTTCTACTGTTACTCTTTGTTAATTCTTGTGTTCTGTTTATACTTCTCTATTGTTCCCCTTAATCTTTACCGGGCTATTTAGGAAAGACTTTGTCATATTGCAAAGGTTACTAAAAAGCATTAGTAGGGCAACTGGGATGTTACTAAACCAAGTCGTTAATACTATTGTAGATAGACACTTGGATTCCTGCAAGAAATTAGCAAATATTATCCTGTTAGACTCTAAACACCCTCTCCATAGACAACTCTCTCCTTGCCTCTTATCGAGTAGAACTATAGACGACTACAGAAGACTGTATGCTCGGACAGCTAAGTACAAAAACTCTACAATTCTCTACAATACCACATTCAGCACACATTTTATGTGATGAGAAATGTGTAAGGCAGGAAATTACCAACTTACTGAGGAATTCTAAGTAAATGGGATGTATTTCTTGTCCTTTCTTATTGTTGTTACATTGTCGGTAATATTTTCACTTGATTTAATTTTATATTCATTTCTTATTGGAAAATATTATTAGTGTAAATTATTATTGCTGTAAATGCCCTATCTTAATTATTGCCCCTTTAATGAGGAAATTAGATGCAATATTGTTGTATTACATGCTGAAAATTCCATATTTGTACCAAAAGTACTGTTTGGAATAAAAGCGATTATTATTATTAGTAGTAGTAGTATAACGGTCTATAAGACATAGTATTCAGTTGATGTAATAAGTCTGTTATCTGAAAATTGTCACAGAAGGTCAGGTGATATGATTGCGACTAGCAGTGGAATGCAGATTGCGTATTTCACCTCCTATTTGGAACTCATCAGCTAGATCTATCCTGACTGAGGCTCGAACCCTAAGCCATGCTGTTTCAAGGAAAAATAGTCACTTAACTAACAATTTGTCTAATAAGTAGAATCTCACCAGTCTTTTCAAACAATAAAGACATAAATCAAGTTAGCTAAAACGGAAAGAGTTGGAGAGAGAGAGAGAGACAGAGACAGAAAAGTCACGGTTCAAATAAGAAAGCTAAGAAGAAGAAGAAGTTATCCTAGCTGTATATTGATCTCGTTAATTGATTCTTAATAGTTGTTTGACTGTTTTGTTATTTATCAGCTGTTCTATAGGAATCAGATATCTGGTTGGTCGGTTGGTTGGCTGGTTGGCGGACTAACTGACTATCCGGCTGACTAGCTGGCTGGCTGGCTGTCTCTTTTATTTTATGTTTCTAGTTTTAAGAGGTTAATCACACAATAATTATCTAATCTGTGTGGTGGTACATTGTAATAAATTATTATCTGTTATCTAAGTGTTTCTCCTTCATCCAGTATATAAGCAAACATATAATGGACGACAGTCAAGCAGGCAGGCAGGCAGGCAAGCGAACAAACCAACAAAGGAGTATTTTGTCCTATTTTAAAGTTATAATTTCGGTATTTTATGATATATTGTCCTTCCTAATTCTATTGATCATTCATTATCATTATTATTAGCCTTTGTGTGTTTATCTCCACCCTTTCTTCTATTTCTCCATATTTTTTTTATTGTTTCTGTTATTTTTCTATTCCAAAGTTTATCTGTCTACTGCTACTACTACGCTGCTGTCACAGTCATTCATTCATCCGCTCACTTCCTCAATCATTCATCCATTAACTGTTCTCATACCTGACTCTTATTATGATTATTATTACTGTATCATAACGGTGCTAATAAAAAAAAATGTAATGTCATTGCGACCAAGCTTTTCTTCTATTTATATAATGTAGAGTCGGCGGCTTTGCGTGAATTTATCAAATATATAATCATTCTTTAGAAAACTAACAAAGTAGACAGACAACTTCCTATTATTACTAGTATCATTATTATTATTGTTATATATCTGTCCTCTGTGTCATTCATATGCGTCCACGCACACACGTGGAAGCAATAACCAACCCTATTGCTTTTCTCCTCCTCTTGTTTTAACCCACGATCGTCATCATTATCGTCTCCGCTATGAGCATAACAAGTGTCCGTTTATGTCTACTAACCAACTGACTTTCCTTTCTTCTGTTTTATGTGTTTCCTGCGTCTACACCCGCCCCTACTACTACTCCTCTTTCTTATTCTGAAACACCTGTCTCTCCTTTCTACAAAAAAAAGCGGGAGAACTCATTCACTTAGTGAACTTGATTTATTGCGGTTAACTTTTTTTAATGAAAAGAAAAGGGTTTTAATCGTTTTGTCCATCCACCACACGTCCACCCATCCGTCTATATCTGTCTGTTGTTTGATCATTCAGGTGGAATGGGGATAAAGGAAGAGTTTTAAAAGTTTGTTGAAGTGGGAATTGTGCGTGTGTGCGCACATGTTGTGAAATATTAACCATGTTGGGAAAAACGCATATTTGTTGGAATATTCTGACTCATAGCATTAGAAAGTAGGAATGTAGTTGATATTTTCTGTTGGGTTTTCAAATGTTCCGACACTTTCATCCGTCATACAAATAGGTGTTATTCTAGTAGAATGAGTAATAATAAAAATGACAATTAGATTCCACAATAAGCTATGATCAGTATTAGTTCCTTTTGTCCCCCTAGTGGGACATACGGCTTCCGTAGCATATCTCCACTTTACTCGTGTTCTCCTTTCTGTCACTGTCATCTGCTTCCATGGCTTCACATCATCTCCTCCCTGTAACCCTGGTAACCACCCCGCAAATCATTGTTTCTCATTTGGGTTCCACTCAAGGGTCTCTGTTGACGTGTGATGTAACTTGAATATATAACCAGAGCATGCTCAATCCACGTAAACTTCCTTGTGAATATTTGTCGGCATTGATAGAAGTTATTAGCAGGTTGTTGGAAATGGCTTTGGTGATATGCACTCCAACTGTCTGAAACGCAAAGAAGCAATGAAATTAGTGTTCCTTGTGTTAAGTACTGCGGGCTGCAGACCTGCACATTGACTTAGGAGTAATGAACGCCTGCTTTGCTTTCTTGATCCGAATGTGGCTGATTGTGACGCCCTCATCCGTACTGTCTGTATGTAGTTAGCATGACTTCCTTTTACTTTTCATCTGTTGATAGTGATTGGTGTTTGTCATTGCTGCTGACTGGATATCTTCATTATCTCTGTTCTCTCTCTGTTGACTTGAATTCTTATGTTCGCAGCCTCTTATGAAGGCTATCACCAACCGGTGGTATTTGTCCTTCTCGAATATTAGCGGAGAATAAATTTACTTTTTCCGTGCTTTCAAGTTCCAGCAGTGACGGGGTTGTCTTTTTTTAGGGTGGGGTTAGTAATCCACCTAATGACTATGTTGACCTGTTTATTAGAAAGTACCATCAACCGACTGAATGAGAGAACCAAACGACCTAAGGTTACTTGTTTTCGAAACACGCTGTCACACTGAAGTAAAACTTCTTAAATCCAACCCTGACCTTCCATTTTGAAGTGACTGAAAGCAGTATGCGTTTCCCTTATCAAGTGTTGATTTGCGGCGATTTGATTGATCCTAAGAACGGTCACGAACTGACTTCAACTATAGAAAAATTGAAAACCAGAGTGTCCTGGAGATTTGTTTCATCCATTAACTCACCAGGAATCAAACCAAGTACCTTCAAGTTACACAGCGCGAGGTCTCTGAACATTTTCGCCACTTGGATGGAATCCAGTGACCCATGAATTCTAATTTCTGCTAATTTGCCATATATAGGTCGACCACCAGCCATAGTACTGACAAACCAGTGAACATCAAGGCACATAAAGTAACCACTTCTTTTCATCAGTACACAGACGTAATGGAATTGAGACACCAGTTCCCATGTTTTCCTTAGAAGTGTTACATCAAAAGCAACTTATGCATACTACTCGTTGTTCTAATCTGGCTAGCAAACGCTATGGTTTAGTGTGAAGGATTTCTAGTTAATCCTATCAGTTACTGAGGTGTCACATCAGTTTATTGCTTCCAGTAATAATACCCTTCTTAGTATCGAGCATATCGTATACTGCAGTTTGAGTTATTCTGTTTTTGTTGATTCTGAAAGGCAGTCACTCAGAAGAATTCCATCTCAGACTGACAACTTTACAATTGTCTGACTTGACCTCAAAAAATTGACTTCTAATGTCAATGATTTTTTCTTATTCCTGTGAATTCCAAGTGGTACGAATATAGGGCTTCAAGCCTAAGCTTTGAATTGTATCGATCGAAAATCGAACCTCATACACCAAATATGTGGCTGGTGAGCATTCTATCATTCGATCACCGGCGCACACGGTGTTAATACTCACTGTTTTAAAGATGCATGTTTCCTTTGACTGGACACTAGTCAGTGACTAGTGTCGTTTTGAGTTCTTTCTGAGTCTGTAATCTTATATAGACTATTTCTCACAAATCTTACTATCATAAATGCAAAGAAGGCAAAGCGTAGGACCCTACACACGTCTACATATACGTATACTAGAAAGACTGAGTTAAACACATAAAAACGCTGTATACATTTGACATTGTCTAATGCTTTTTTGTGTTCTTCATTCATTTCATACAGGCGTTTACCTAACACAGAATTTCGAAGTAATGGAAATTTGCGTATAGCAGTTTTTGGTATTGAACATACTGGCAGTTATCATTGTCGAGTGATACACGCTGCTGGTAAACTTGATAGTAGACCACCATTTATTATACAAATGACAAGTAAGTACCAAAATAACCAGTATATGACAGTTTATTATATAGTTATGCGAACGTTTTTTTCGAATTCTATGAAAAAACAGAATAACATCATTTGTTATCTTCACATTGATAATGAATAATATTGAAAGGAAATCTGAATTACGCTTTGATTCGCTTTTTGTATTTGCGCAATCTAAAATTTGTATACGTTAACTCATAAGCTGTGTGTCGGTGGTTCAGGGCTAGAATGCTTACTAACCATGCATGTAGTTTGGAGGATACCTTTACCTCTTTTAGCCGGTTGCAAGCCTAGCAAAAGGGGAAGAATGTTGGGAGTGAGGCTAGCAACCACATCCAGTGAACACAATCACCACTACTACTGAAATTTCAGAATACTTCAAGCTTGAGGCCCTATATTCGACTAGGTGGGAGGAGAGGGCAAAGAAATGAAAAATAACTGTGATAAGCCATGAAATTTCTACCCAGGCAATTAGTTGGAGCTATAGTTATAAGGTTTATCTTTCAGGAGAGTTTAGTCATTTTTTTATTTTAGCTTGATTCCATACCGTATTTTTGGCACAAGTATGAAATTTTCAGCATGAGATTTCGGTAGCCTAAATTTAAGGCGCTAGACAAGAAAACAAGAAGTTCAGCAGAGACATCTTTTAGGCAATTTCATCCTCGAAGGCTGTACAATCGCATTTTTATACATAAGTTCACATAGTCATAAATACAATATAATTCAATACAGTAACCAAAATAGATTACAGGTAATATGAAAGTGAGTAGGTGTGATAAAGGATGAATATAAATCCCAAAGGCGATAGCAATAAAATAATACAGAATTAGGAAAACGATTGCCTAATAGGTAAAATAGTTTTTCAAGTATTTTTTCTGTAGGGATTTTGATTGATTAGTTGGAGGATTTCATCATGAGCTGACATCATTTAGAGAATCATTGGAAAATCTGCAGGGAGTACTGGACAGCCTGCTGTTTCATCCTAGTTTGGCGCTCTTTAGCAGTTACGCCCCCACTGACCCATGAATTCTAACTTCTGTCTATTCATGACATAATGTGACCACTTCACAATGTCTTCTTTGATGAGTTACTGCCTCACCTTCAACCTGCTGTGCCTTACTGGTCATGGCTTCTCACTAGAACATCAGGTAACTGCCTACCTAGCCAATGAATTTGGTCGCAGTGGCTGAATGGTCTACAAGCTCGCATTGTTAGCAGAAGGTTCTTGGTTTGAACTTCGGTGGATGCGCACTGTGAAAAGTCCCGAACTAGGACGGAACAGAACGCTGTCCAGTACTCCCTGCAGGTCTTCCAATGGTTCTCTAACTGATGTCAGCTCATGATGAAATCCTCCAACCAATGAAAATAATTTTTAACGAATACAACCATGAACAAGGTGAGCATTTAAAGAAAGTTAAAGGATATTTCTTATCACTGAATATAAAAAATATGAAGAGGATGAGAAAAGCACCAACGGAACAACAACTGAGGAGGCAAACAAGGTTAGATGCATGGTATATGTAGAGTTTGGACTAGTTTTGTTTTCAACATATAACTCGATCTTTTCAATGCATATGGTGAGGGTTTCCACAATACAGAGAAGTATGAATCACCCTAAAGTTATTGTTTGAAACTTTATCACTACAATTTATGAGTATTAAACTTTTGGAGTTTCAAAGGTACCTCGTCGACATAACTTTGCAAACGTAAATTTTAGATATAAAATGTGTTTCATCTAGCAACTATACTTACTCCTACTTACCTAATGTTCTGTTGGTATTTTTACATGACTATATATATAGGTTTATGACAAATGAACGGTGTAGTTTTGATGATGATTTCCTATAGTAGAGAAGATTTGTAGCTCAGGTGGATGGTTTGCAATTAGTAGTATCCTTTGAGCTGGTTGACTTAGTTACGGAGCTTTCGTCGACCTTCTCAATAACATCTTCAGCGCAAATTCTTAGCACAAACTGAACTGATTTAAATTTTCCATGAGTGATAGAATTGCGTCACCCGGTACCCATCTTTACATATGTATTAATTAACTCAGTGTTATTAATAAAAGGAACTACAGTGGTTTAGTACAGTTGAACACCGATATCCTTTAACCCAAGGAATTCATTAATCGTCAGTATTTAACAAAAGACTTTTATCAACAGATACTTTTACTGACTCTGTACTGAAGAGTAGATAGCTGGTAGAAAGAGTTAACAACAAGGAATTCTGAGAGATGAAGTGGACACACTCCGAGAAGACCGTCGAGTGACGTCGCAAACCAGACCAGCCCTCCGATGGAACCCAAATGGGAAACGCCGAGTTGAGCGTGTGTCTGAGGGTGACATGGAGGAGATGAGAAACTATGGGTAATCGAGGGACCAGCTAGATAGAGAGAACTGCAGAGAAAAGGTTGAAGTAGAGATGTGTTGTCGAAGGCCTATATTCGACTCGGAACCTGATGGAATAATAATAAAAACAGATCTTAAACGAAAAACAAATACTCATATATGGTGGTTGGATTTCAACTTAAGCTTTAGTATGCTTCGTATAAGTAGGCTGAATAGTGATCTGTTAACTGGACTAACAGTTATGTCTACCAGACAGCTGTGTTACTAAAGTCACTGAATTACTCGAATCGATCAGAATGAATACGTCTGACTACTAGTTCACTCATAATCCGACCTTCTAGTGTTTCAAGAACGCCCCCTCCTTTTTTTATTATTTGTGAACAGCCTATCTCAGTTAACATGACAAAAAATAATAATTTATGCATGACGTCATTGAACCGAGGTGGATTGAGAGACGATGCCCACCTAGGTTGATGTCAGAAACGATGAGATTGAAAAATCACCATTGGAACATACATACACACACACACAATAATCTGAACTGAAATTACACTTTCGATAGAGAAATAACTGACGGCTTTCTCTAACACTTCACAGTATCAAGAAAAAGTGTTGAATGCAACTTCCGATTGATTTGATTATGTATTTATTTCTCCTTGTATAAAATTGTTTACTGCAATCAAACGAGAACACAACACTAGTGATGATAGTATTATTATCATTTGTTACATGTTTTCAATTTTCAATTAATTCGAAAATATACATGCAGATGAATTAATTAATTTCCCATCCTGTTCAAAATCAATACATCTTTTAAATTCTTTAGTGTTTTTTCTACATGATTTGATTATCGTTTTTCTTTGTTGTAAATTTTATTTTTGAACATACTTGAAATATCTGTAAGCTAACTAACTGCCTAGAAATATTTGTTTAAATGCATGGCGTTCAATTTGATGCGTTCGACCTTGAGTGCGTGCATATTTTGTTTAAATGCATATATATGTATAAGTTCAATGTATTAACTCGGTTCAACGTTGTTTGAGTTTTTGATATTAACTCCACTGTTGTCAGCTTGAATGACAGTAAAACACAAAAGATGAAAGAGATAGTCTTCATGACTTTAGTAGTATTGATTTATTAGTACTGGACTAGTAGTAGATGTTGATTTAACGGAAAATCTAGATTAAAACTTTGAAATTACTTGTAATAATAACTTTCTAATAATTTGATCTTCTGGTTGATTGATTGGCCCAAAATCCTTGACCTCTGTTGACATGTTGGCTTCTAGGATGAATGCTTCGACGATGACTAGCAGTCGAATTTAGGATGCACATTTCACGTTCTATTTTGTCTTCTTTAAGCTGGTTGTACCAGTGATGATGTTTCCACTGTGACTTCTCACCGTTTCAATCGCCAAGGCGTTGTTCACTAGATGGCGTGAGTCAGGATAGCCATCTCTTGTGCGATGGGCATCAGTTATTGTTTCTTTATAATCCATTGGGTGCTGAATCCGAGTCTCAATGAGGACACCATCACTCACTGAGAACGCAGGTAAATCTAGTTGATGAATCCCAGACAAGACGGAATGCGCATCCTTGATCCTATTGCTAGTCATCATCCCCTAAATTAACTTTCTAGTGTTTTTAATTTTGAAAAAGTGTCTGCACTACTCTGTGTGCCACAGTGCTTACTTGTTCTCACTTCCCTGCCGCAGTTGCTTGTAAAAAATAAGACTGAGAACAGAATAGTATTCTAAATTATACAAATGCAACATCATCTTAAAGAATCACATTCACAGTTGTAAAATTAGGTGATAATTTAGGTGGATAATTTTTTTTTACTTCTGAAGAAATTCATGAGTCATCTATATGAGGAGACGTGTTAGAGATTACTCATCATTTTTGACAATCCAATGACATTTCCCAAAGGGAAACAAAGTTATATGCATAACAATCATAATAATAATAACAACAATACAAAGTCATAGAAAAGCATGTCCCTTGTCATTTTTGTATTGTTTTAATAATTTAATAACAATGATTCAGAATGGACTGCGCGTTTGTTTCAAAATTTCATTAAACCAATATTTCATGCCTTATTATTGCGTTCCGAGTGGAACATAGGGCTTCAGCAACACATATCCACTTTGTTCTGTTTTCTGCTGTCCCCTTCAGCTGGCTAGCCACATGGTTATCCATAATCTCTCATCTCCTCCTTAAACTCACACAATCTCCTCTATGACACCCTAGGACGACCCACTCTTCGCTTTCTGTCGAGATTTCATTCGAGCAATGGCCTGCATTACGCCCGATGTCATTCGATGGTTTCCTCAATGTATGCCTCATCTCTCCTGGTTTATTCCCAGCCAGCCAAAGTTTCTTGTTACTAATACTTTCTGGCCAGCCGGTCATTTGATTTTCAGTATGAAGCGAGTGCAATTGTTGATAAAAGTCTGCAACCTGTTGGAAATCCTTTTCGTGACACGCAGTGCAAGTTTCTGACCCGTAGAGAAGCACCGGCTTGACATCGGTGTTGAAGATGCGAATATTGTTCCCTATGCTGAGTGCAGAATATTTAGAAACTGGTTTCGGGTTGGTAAAGGCGTATCTCGCCTTTACGATTTCGGCTGGCTGTCTTTGACGTCTTCATATGTT